AATGGGCGCGCTGAAGCATGTGTGGGTTTATTCAAACGTGGTGTCAGGTCGCTCTTAAAGGAGGCGCGACTCGGGCCGGCGTACTGGGCACTGGCTGCTCGCCATTGGTCAATGTTACGGTGGCAGAAAGCTGAAAGGGAGTTGGGGTTGAATCCTAAAACATTGCTTCCCTTTGGTGCTCAGATTCAAGTCAAACGTCGTCCGTGGGAGTTGCTGGGTCCGGATGGAACAAAGAAAGGTCGGCAATGGGTCGATCGTACGCAGCCTGCACTTCTTTTGGGTCCATGCGATGACCTACCTGGTGGTTATTGGGTGGAAGCTCAAGGGACTGCAAAAGATCCGGATGAACTGGTGTTATTTCCCTGCACTACGATTTTTTCCAATATCAAGGAACCGCCTGAATTGGAGCTGGAAGGGGTGGTAGAAGAACAGGAGCCTTCTCCTCCAGAGCATCGTCTCAAGGGGAAAAAACCGGCGCTTCGGTTCGCTGATGAAGAAGGTCCTCCTTTACCTCCGCCTCGCGATCCTCCAGTTTGTCATCGGTTAAATGAAAAAAGCCCGGCCTCTTCACTGCGTGGTCATGTGGGCTCCTTGCGCTTGCTTCGCAAGCGGGGGGAGAGTCCGCCCTTGGAAATTTTCGAGGATGACATGCAGGGTCTGGGGGAGCTGGAAGAAAATGCAGACGTCGAGGACAATGTTCCTGGTGATGAGTATTGGCCGACTTGCTGTTCTCCTCATGAAAATGCTTATTTGGTCTGCAAAAGTGGGACTGCTGAAGATGGAACACAGTTGGAAAAAGAAGAGCAAAAAGCCAAGTCAATGTATGAAAGGTCTATGTATGATTACGTGGACTGCGAGGAGCTTTTGGAAGGGATTGTATACCCAAAGAGGGTGAATCGAAGAGGTGGTATCAACAATTGGTGTACAAGTACGCGAGCTCTGGTGTTGGGCCACTATACTCATGGCGGAGTGTGTGGTATCACAAAAGAGACCCATCGAAGACCATGGCTATGTCGTTATTTGGCATCATTCGTGAGGCACCACAATCCTGAAGCCAAATTTTCTGCTCTTCAAATCTCGTGCAATGCTCCGGTGTCATTGCATAGGGATAGTCACAATGAAAAACATTGCTGCAATTATGTGTGTGGCTTTGGTGACTATAAAGATGGTCAGCTGTGGGTTGAGGATGAAAAGGTTTTAGAGGAAGGAGCTGAAGTGGTGGAGCAATCTTATGGGAAGAAAGTCCTACCTGGAAAATTGGTGGATATCCACTGGAACTTCATGTCGTTCTTTCCGAGAAAGCTGCATGGCCCTATGCCTTGGAAAGGAAACAGGGTATCCTTGACAGGGTACACACCTGTTTTTATGGAGCGTTTGAGCTACAAGGATAGGTGCTATCTTCTCCAATGCAAGTTTCCTCTTCCGGAACCACAGGCTGAAGAAGGTGAAAAAAGGAAGTGGTTAAAAATGACGTTGAAAGAGACCTCGCTGGACGACCTTGCAGAGGAAGTCGACTACGCTGTGTTCGAAGCGCATCAATGGGCTCTGGAGGAGCATTTGGGTATTCGACGCCTAATTGCTGAACAGGAATGTTGCATCTTGGACGAGTTCCATGGATCGGCCAATGAGTCGAGTGAAGAAAAAGGATCAGAGACTAGAGAATGGCTGGTTAAAGCAAAAAGGGCTGAGGAACAGCTATCGAAGTTTTTGGTCAAAGCAGCTCAAGTTCAGCAAATGGTGCAAGAAAATACCGCGCTTGAGGCAGCGGAGGAGGTTGAGTTCCTGCAAACAAAAACAATTCCTACACAAGAAGCCATGCAAGAGCTGGAAAAGTGGAGGGAATCATTGTCGGACGAGGTGACGTCTTTGGTGAAAGAGTTGGAGGTGGTAGAACCAACAACTCAGGAAAAGCTGGACAAATTGGTGGAAGAGCCTAATGCACCGGTGATTGAGTACGTTCCCAGTCTGGTGGTGTTTACCCGGAAGCAAGGGACAGGGAGGCGACGTGCCCGTATCTGTGCATGTGGAAACTTCATTTCGTCAACGGCAGCTACAGAATATGAAGGGCCGAGGTCACTCAGTCGTCACTCGCTGTACGCTCCAGGTTTAGATTCAACTACATTCAGGTGTCAAGTGAGGCACGCAGCATATATGGTGTGGATCATCGCTGGCTTAGACATTTCCAAAGCTTTTCTGACGGCGCCGATGAATAGGGCGCAAAGAGAAGGGCGTTTGGTGGTGGTGCAGCCCCCAAGGGCGGCGGTGAAATTGGGTCTTTGCACAAAAGAGGAGCGGTGGATTGTGAGGAAGGCCTTGTACGGTTTGGCCGAAAGTCCTGCAGCATGGGTGGAGTGGCGAGACCAACGTCTTCAAGGTATGTCTTGGGTGTCAAAGGATGGACAAGCAATGAGCTTTCAGAGGTCCAATGCAGACCCAAGTCTGTTCCTTATTATGGCACAAGAAAAGCCGGAAGGTGCAAGCAAGTTGGTAGGGACAATGGGTCTTTACGTGGATGATTTTTTGATGGCTGGGACTATGACAGTGCTCCGGGAGGCCTTGGAACAGATTAGGAAGGAGTGGAAAACTTCTGAACCCGAGTTCTGTGGTCCAGGCTGCGGTGATGGATTCCTGAAGTTTTTAGGTGTCCAAATCTGGTATCGAAATGGCAGCTTCTTTCTCAACCAGGAGGACTTTGTGAGAGATTTGCTGAACCGACGAGGGTATCAGATCGATGAAACTGGAAAAGGAAGTAACCTGCCAATGGTGAAAGAAACTCCAGGTGAAGAAGAGGAGGTGGATATTCCTTCCTTGCGAGCGGCACAAGGTGCCGTAGGGGAGTTCCTCTGGGTGGCAATCAAAACTCGACCTGATTTGGCGTTCTGCACGAGTCAGTTGTCTTTGTGGACATCCCGAAGGCCGCGATTTGTGGTTAAAAAGGCTGAGGAGGTTTTCCGATACCTTGCTGCAACTCCAACGTTAGGCTTGACGGTCGGAGCAATCGCAACATGCGAAAAAGAAAGGAATGAGGTGTTGCGTTATGGACGAGGTGTTAAGGTGGTGGAGTCCTACGCGGATGCCAGCTTTGCAGCAGGTGAAAATGAAAAGAGCCACTCAGGAGCGGTAGTGGTGTGGGGTGACTGTCCAGTGATGTGGGCAACACAGAGACAATCAACGGTGGCTTTAAGTACAGCTGAAGCTGAATTACATGCGTCCATAGAGGGAGCAACGATGATTCAGTCGTGCACCCCTATAATTGCTGCTTTGGTTGGAACAGGTGAAGAATCGCTGCAAAAAGTGCTGTATACAGATTCGGTTTCAACGTGCTCGATCATTCAATATCCTGCTGGAAGCTGGAGGACAAGACACCTGAGAATTCGAGCAGCCGGTGTCAGGTCTCTGGTGGACCGTGGTTATATGGTGATAGCGCATCTTCGCGGTGAGTATATGATCGCTGACCTGTTGACTAAGTTGATGAGTGGACAGGTGTACGCAAAGCAAAAGGCACTTTGGGGTCTCCGACTGTTGGTACAAGGGACTGACTTGAAAAAAGCCTCGCTTGCAATGGCGGTCATGATGGTGGCTGCATCTCTGCAAGGGATGGCAACTGGTGGCGAAGAAGTGTCCACGGCTGGATTCTTTTGCTCAGAAGAAGGGGTGTGCAAGGTCGCCAACACGTCTACGGTGATGGTTCTGGCTCAAGGTATTGAAATGGTTGTCAACAATTCAGACCTTGTTGCGTATTTGGTGGCAGCAATTATACTCTGGGAACTGGCATGGTGCCTCTTTCGACGGCTGTATAAATGGCTGTGGATAAAGAAAGCGGTGGTTATTCCTGCGAGTGCCACTTTGTATACAACAGTGGGTGGGAACTGTATGCACGCAAGCAGTGATTGTGATGTTCTGCGATATTCACAGCTCAGAGCTAAGACGCTTTGTAAGCATTGCCTCAAGGATGGCTGGGTGGTGAATGCTGAGTTCCTTGGTGAGGAACGAGCCGCTGGAACGTGAATTTTCCAAGTGCGAGGTGAAGAAATCCTCAATGGTAAAGGATTCAGCCAATGAGCTGAAGGTTCGTCCTGGAAGACGTTAAACCACAATGTGCATTTCAAGCAGCTGGCTGCTGCCTAAATGGCGGTTTTTGGCCAAAGATCTGCACCTCCAATGTGTCCTAGGAAATCCTAGGACAGGGGGAGTGCGGAGCTGCAATTGGTATTGTAGAAAGGAGTTGGTATTGGAGGTTGAAGGGTCAATGAACCCGGTAATCTTTGGCTCAAGCCATGACCAAAGCGGTCGAAGGTTTCGTAAAAAGTGTACCCTTGGTTTGGGGTCTTGCTGTTCGGTTGTTGGTTGTTCCAGGGGTAATAAGGGCTTCTGTTGGGGTTGACTGTCTTGTTCCCTGTCCTCCTTCGGTTGCCCCCCGTACCCCCAACCCTTCTCCCCATGACTGTCAAGATGCAAAACAATCAGCTCCTCCGTTCCTTCTCAGGTTTTTAGAAGGGGGGAGTGGCTTTGCCGGGTGAGCTTTGACTTGCCTGGAGGGTTCGTCTGCGACTGACGCGCATGCAAGCGTGACAGCAATGGCCCCCCAAATGTGGCTTTTGAACTTTACCGCGTCAAGGTGTTTGCACTTGCTGGGACCCCTGAATCCCATGTCAGTAACCACATGCCACCAAGCTTGGACTTCGGAGAATCCCACCACGCCTCAAGCCTTTAAGCCTTTAAGCCTTTAAGCCTTTAAGCCTTTAAGCCTTTAAGCCTTTAAGCCTTTAAGCCTTTAAGCCTTTAAGCCTTTAAGCCTTTAAGCCTTGAAGCCTTGAAGCCTTTAAGCCTTTAAGCCTTGAAGCCTTGAAGCCTTGAAGCCTTGAAGCCTTGAACCCTAGACCCCTAACCCCTAAACCCTAAACCCTAAACCCTAAACCCTAAACCCTAAACCCTGAACCCTGAACCCTAAACCCTAAACCCTGAACCCTGAACCCTACACCGGTCGCAAGACAAGAGGCAGCCAGTGGTCTCGAATGAGTCCTTCCCGCTTCACCTAGTAGGTGAGAACCGATGAGCTGGCTCTTTCAGACTCAGACCCTGAGCGTAGGCAAATTTTCTCGATTTTCCGGCCACTTTTTGCGTTTTTTTTGGGCAGCATATGCAGTTTAGAGAGGGGCGATAGGTTCAGGGCAGAAGTCCAGGCTTCTGCTGAGGCATGCCGCCTTTTCCTTGCAGTAAAGCCGTGGCCACAGGCTTCGATCTCAAGACACTCGAACGCTGAGGCCTAAAACACTTGGGCGTTTACGAGATAGACCACTTGGGCGTTTACGATACTAGGGGCACCGTAATATAAGGGAATACTATTTGGGGGTTCGTAAACCCCCACTTCGATGAAAGATAACGGTTTTCCATGGTTTTCTTACAAGGAAGCTGGAACAGGAGAGAACGGGCACGCCCTGATCATGCTCAACATATGCTACGCACCCCCAAGTCTAACCCTACACCCCAGACCGTCTAACCCTAAACCCTAAACCCTAAACCCTAAACCCTAAACCTTAACCCTAAACCCTAAACCGTCCAGCCCTAAACCCGAAGTTGCAGCCCTCGTTGGTGCAGACGGGCCTTGGAGTGATCTAGCTCACCGATGTGGCCTCGGCGGGTTTAAGATGCTCAGGTGTTGGGACCTCAAAAAGATACAAAGATTGAGCCTTGGGAAACATGACTCGAACAGCAAGTTCAATAACACGATAGATGGCATGTTTCAATCGCATGCTAGATCACATGCTAATGCCCAATAACGTGTCAGAAAGAAAACTAAATATCATGTTCTGCTCAACCCATAACCTCCACATGCCTCCACCGTACAGCCTGCCCGCATTCCTGGTGCCCGAGTCCGAAACTCTGCAAGCCACTTCATGCTAGGCTTCAGATTAGTCGGCTGGGCTTTATAGACTGAATAATTTATAGACTTGCGCAAGTTGAGTTCCGGAGCTTTGCGCTTGCAATGCGGTGCAGCCCAGCAGCTGTTCTCCATGCGTGTGCGCATGCAGAACTTATACCTCACAGGGAAGCTTCTCAGGGATCGGAAAAGAGTTCTGCAAGCTTTCTCTGAACATCACTGGACGTTTTTGGAGGGACCCTACTTTCTAGTTGACCCTTGAAATCTGGCGCGGACCGGATCCAGGGCTTAGGGAAAGGAACACAAGGAACAGGAAATTGCTAATTTTGCAACCTCAGCTTCTGTCTCCAAGATGAGGAATGACAGTAAAGGCAGCAAAGTGCAAGCCCCGGAACAACTCCGAACCCACAAAAGATGCCAGCACAGAATCCTTGGTGTCTAACGCCACTTAGGAGCAAATCCCCTTAGGCTGCGAACGAACGGATCGGCAAAAAGGGACGAGGGAAGCACGTCCCTGACCGACGTTTTCGCGACAGTAGCGAGGGCTCGCTTTGCATCATGGATCCACCAATGCTTTTCAATTTCACTCCCAACACAGCCCCATAAAGTGTTTGTGTGTGTGTGTGTGCGTGTCTCTCTTTCTCGTTGTCTCTCTGTCTTCGCGTCTCTCTGTCTCTCTGTCCCTCTGTCTCTCTGTCTCTCTGTCTCTCTGTCTCTCTGAATCTCTGTCTCTCTGTCTCTCTGTCTCTCTGTCTCTCTGAATCTCTGTCTCTCTGTCTCTCTGTCTCTCTGTCTCTCTCTGTCTCTCTGTCTCTCTGTCTCTCTGTCTCTGTGTCTGTGTGTCTGCGTGTCTCTCTGTTCCTCTTCTTCTTCTACCGGGCATGGAGGACAGGGCAGAAGTCCCTGAACCTCCGCGCGCTGGGCGCGCCCTTCAAGTCTCGGGTCACGTCGGCGAGAAACGAAGAAAACACGCGAGTCGCACTTGTTTCCCACACGTGTCTCTCTGTCTCTCTGTCTCTCTGTCCCTCTGTCTCTCTGTTCTCTGTCTCTCTGTCTCTCTGTCTCTCTGTCTCTCTGAATCTCTGTCTCTGCGTCTGTGTGTCTGCGTGTCTGCGTGTCTGTGTCTCTGGGTCTGTGTGTCTGCGTGTCTGCGTGTCTGTGTCTCTGGGTCTGTGTGTCTGCGTGTCTCTGTGCCCGTGCGCTGTGTGTCCGTGTGTCTGCGTGTGTCTGTGTCTCTGCATCCCTGCATCCCTGCGTCCCTGCGTCCCTGCGTCTCTGCGTCTCTGCGTCTCTGCGTCTCTGCGTCTCTGCGTCTCTGCGTCTGTGTCAGTGTGGCTGTGCGTCTGTGTGTCTCTGTGTCTGCGCGTCTGTGTATCTGTGGGTCTGTGTGGTCTGTGTCCGGGGCGCGTGCGCATGCGCGGGTGTGCGTGCATGCGCTGCGTGCTGCTTGGGGGAACAACCAAATGAATACAATGAAAGAGCAACCGCTTCTTTAACTCCAATGTGTTGCCAGCTGCCTTCTGCTGCTGTCACTTTTTGGGCACAGACTCTGATTGTTGCGCCGATGAGCTCAGGCAGCCGCACACCAACCCAAAAGATCTTAAAGGAACTAAACGCCACATTACGAATGGTGCACACACGCCTTGGGAAATAAATACACAATTCTACCCCGCCCCCCCCCCCCCCAACATTAGTACCCGAACCATGCAACGTTCGTGCTCTCCCCCGATCCCTCCCCTCTTCCCGTCCACAGCCGGGTCACGTGTCTTCTTCGGGGATGTCAAACATCACGGACAGCTCAGGGTAGTGAAACTTGTAGTCGCTGGGGAAAGTGAACCTTTGGCAGCCCCCCAAGCCCTGGACTCGAGGGCCTTGCAACAGACCTCTCTCCGCTTTCCCTCAGTTCATGCCTTAGAGGTGCCTCCGAATGGTTCCGATGTTTCCCCCACAAGCGGCCAGATAAGATGATCGCAGAAACGCTGGCAAGACCTGCAGGCTCTTAAATTTGCCCCAGACATCACCAGCGGCCAGCTTCGGGGGCTTCAAATTCTCAACCCTCAAGTCGTGACTTGCAGAACCAGGGCTGTTGACCGAAAGTGTGATGCAAGCTTAGCTTAGGGTCGAGGGCTGCATGAGATGGAGGAGCTAATCCAATCACATCAGGGCATCCACGTTCTCCCTCCACTCCATGCCTGGCGATATATCAACCATGTCGAACCCCTCACAGAGACTTTCGAGCACTCCTGCGTGACTGCACTTTGACCCGGCACCTATTCATACCCAACACACAAAATGCTCCTCCTTGCTCCACCTCACCACAATCCCCCTTTCGTCTCCCCAAGAGGACTCTGGTGCCGTGGAGCTGGACCGCATTGCGCTCCGCATCCGAGTAGCCGTTCTTCCACATGATGGCCTGGGCAGTCTCGGCGCTACTCTTGGTCCGTTCCCTACAGAACAGATGTCATCTTGAAGTAGGGTTTATATTTCTTGTACCCCCAACCCAAAAGGACACCCAGTATATACACTCACCAATATTAAAAGGAACCGTATATACACTCACCAATAGCCGTAAATAAGAACCCTGCTTCAAGTAGGCATAAGAATGCCAACAACCACATAACTTCATGACATCATGATGCCACCGCCACCGCCTCGCCTTGCACAAAACATCAGGGGTAAGGACCACAAGAACGCAAAAACATGTAGGGTCGAAATGGCTGAACCAAAGGCTTCTCTTGTCGAGTTTCAGGTTGGGGCCTCGGGCCTTCAATCCTGAGGGTCTTTGTTCAGCGGCTCCGAGGAGATGAGGGTTTCAGGGTTCAGTGGGTTTCAATGGATGCAGGTGTAAGATTGAGGAGACCGAGTGTCGACTAATTTCTGGTTGAGGCGCACACACACACACACCAAACATCAGTCTTTCAAACCGGCGGACCTCTTCAAAGGTCACCGCAACCCGAATACAACAGAACTGCTCCTTGAACCTCCCTCCTCCACCCCCAAAAAAACAAGTGATGCGTCGGCAAAGACACCAGGAGCTCGTCCGACGTGATGAAGACATCGCTCTCAACCTCTGGCTTCGGGGCATGAGAACGAGGGAATAAGACCTTAGGATGACAAGACCTTCGGATGACAGTCTAGGTTTTCTCGCCTCAGTACCCATTTCCAGCAGAAGCCTCGGAGCTCGGAGGAGGTATGACGTGCCTCTAACAGAGGATCTGGGGGCTTTGGAGCGGTGCTTCGCACAGGCGAGTGGAATTCCTTGCGTTTGGAGAGGATGACTTCGGCGTTGGCTCCGGGGTTGCAGGACTGTGGGGTCGGCTGCATGTTCGAGGGGCCGCGGAGTTTCATCAGGACGTTTTGTTCCTGTCCCTGCTGCAGAGGAAATTTTGAAAGAGGACAGCGGGCAAGCGCAAGGTTTGCGTTTGGGTCTTTGGCTGAGAGCCGATGAGTAGCAGTAGCAGCGATACTGGCCTGCATTCGAGCTGCCACTTGTCTCGATCATCAGCACATAAAATGAAGCCTTCTCAACCGTGCGGTCACATCGTCGCATGTCGAAGAATGTACTGCCGACCCAAACATGCTCAGGATCCTATATAAACCCTAAACCCTAAACCCCAAAGTTTTGAAGGAGCCCTTGGAATCCAAACTGGTAACGCGCCGGGTGGGGGGTGGGGAAGCGGAAGCCCAGAAGACCTAACCCTACAACGTCTACCGCCCCAATACCAATACACGCAACTCCGACGCCTAAATCAAAGTTCTGCAGTGGCTGAGGGTACTGAGGTTAACATCAGGACCTCAAGAACCCGAACCCAAATCTTTATGGGGGTTTACGATACTAAGGATACCTTATTGGGGTACTTTGTAAAGAAGGGAATCCTACTCTTCAGGGTCTATTTTAGGGGGCCCCCCCCCCTTATTTTCGCAAACCCTCAACCCTAAACCCTAAACCCTAAACCCTAAACCCTAAACCCTAAACCCTAAACCCCCTTAAAGGGGGGGGCACCGGCCATCCCAATGAGGCCGCGACAACGAGCCCACTCTTTGCCCGCTCGAGGAAGGCCGCAAAGGCATCGCCTCGGCCCTCTTGGTCGGTCACGACCTGGACATAGGGGGGCCGTTTTTTCTAAGGACTTAGGGGAGCAGGGTACCCTAAAGCCTAAACCCTAAACCCTAAACCCTAAACCCTAAACCTGGAGGGCACAGGGAACTGAAGGGCTTCTAGATTGTGCTCATGCACTTGTGAACCCTCGGACGGCCACACAGGTTCTAAAGTTGACCTGCTTGCGCTGGGCAACGTTGCGATGCGTGAGTTGACCTTTGGGGCTTCGGGGTTTAGGCTTAAACGGTTGCAGCTTCGTGCTCAGAATTCATGGGGGGAGGGGGGGGGGGCAAACGGGTCATTTGATTGCTGCCCGCAAGAAACTAGAAACTAAAGCTCGAACCACTTCATTGTTAATCCATAAACAGACCTTGGTCGTCCAAGTTGGAAGCCAGCATGAGGAGATACGACGTAAGCGCTCCAGATGCTCTCCTGTTGCAACCATGAAAACCAAAATGGGCACCTCAACCCTAGTTAGACACCCCCTGACTCCCATCCCCAACCCCGGATCAAGCCCCCTTTGCCTTCAGGTAGCGCAAGAAGAGCGGCACCTCCTTTGTGAAACCTCGTCTCCACTGTCATCGGGCTCTCCCCGTCACCCTTAAACCTCTAGCCCTAACCCTACACTTCTGCTTGCAGTAGTTCTTCTCGGCTGCTGTACCCACAGCATGCCTTTTGAGAACAAGTTTCTCTATACATACACACTTTAATGTGCGCTTGCATTTCTCCGACAGCAAAAATGCGGGTTGTGCTTGCACATTTGACGTTCGCAAGCGTGCGTGAGCATTCGCTCATGACAAACTCGTGACTTCTGTCACTATCGAAGCATCTTAAAGTTGTTCTTGCGCTTCGAAGGCCAAAAGAGATGACAATCGTAAAAATCGTGCGTGTCGCTTTCGCGTCGGGGTCGCCATCCTCCTATCTGTCGGTATTGCTCAAGCTTTGGCAAAGCTTCTTCAACACCGAAGTGCTGACACTTTCCAGGACGGTGAACGTCGGAGTCCCCATCCTCGTGACTGCCGCAGCTGTTGAAGCTCCTTTGAAGCTTCGCGCGCCTATAAAGTGCTGACAGTCGCAAGGATGGCGTCTGTTGGGCAACAGTCAGCACTTTGCTTAAGCCTCGTGCGGAAAAAATGGGTCTTGGATGATCTAGGCAAAGCTACCCTGAACCAGCCAAGCTACTGGACAGATGGTCTCGCTCGGGCAGCGCGATGAGGAAGTCGTCATAGTCCACCTAAGGGGGGGGGAGTGGTGTCGCAGGCCCGGATGCAGCACCGTACTCTTTATAGTTGCGGGGAATGTCAAGTTTGAAGTGAAGGCCTTGGGGCAACTTCGGCTGTTTGGGATGGTTCGAAGGCCGTAGGCTTCTCACCTGCCCCTGGTGCTCAAAATGGGGGGGTTTTCGATATTAGGGGTACCTTATTAGGGTCCTTATTATAAGGGGATCCTACTATTTGGGGGTCTATTTTAGGGGTCCCTATTTTCGTAAACCCCCCAAATGGGAGCTGCTGGTTTAGTTGACATTGCAGGGAGGTTCGGATCACCTGGGGTTGAGGGTTGCGGGTCTTGGGGTAAGCTGCCGAACAGACGCTTGCGCAACGCGCAAGGCCCTGACCCGAACTGGCAGCCCGAATGCCTCCAAACGAATTCTACCCTTCGAAAACTGGTGGAACCCACAGGGTTGAGCACCGACCATCCACACGAAGGCCAAAACCTCTATCTCATCTAAATCTCAACCAGGCACCCATAGTTGACATGCATTGACATAATTCCAATTTCCTCAAGCCGTAGGGTGATATAATATAATATAATATTATATTCTATGATATAATATAATATAATATAGTATAATAAGCCAAGCAGCGCCATCCTTGTAGGGTTTCACGATGTGATACTTTGTAATGTGGGCACCTGTTGCATCGTCTTCAGTGCATCGAACCTCTAAGTTGCACTCGGCGGCAGTGCATCCAGCAAAAGGAAAAGCGCAGACTTGTGCGGTTTCCTGGTCGACATTCATCTCCAACTCCTTTGCACCCATAGAACTCCTCTACGACTCTACAAGATTCTATATGTAATGTTCGGAAGGAATAGTACCGAAGGATACAAGCCTGCTCGCTTTTGGCAACATGCTCTCACGTCATGGAAGATCCAGGATTTCTATTTGGCAGAGTCCACACAACAAACATCAACAGCCGTACACAAGCTGCACTTCATGGTGGTTTGGGGCATGTATGGCATCAGAAGAAGAAGAAGCTGTCTCCTGGGTTCAAAAACCCTGAAAACCAGAGGAAGGTGGGGCTGGCATGGAATGCAGGGTCCAGCTGATGATAATCGGCACAACCGCCCTCCCTCTCCAACATCGACGTACACAGTTTTCATCGCAACGAATAGCCGCACATGACATTGGGACTTTGTAGGTGTTCAAGCCAATGATGCACTGGCTATGCACACGAGCTGGTGATGGTACATTCAGTCATACAGGAAGCCAAAAGAGGGGCCTCAAGAAACCACAAAAACACAAGCATTCTACAAGTATGGTTTTCCGGAAACCCCTCCTATAAGGGGCCCGTATCAAAATACCCCAACAGTAGGATCCTTATGTTTATGTTTTTGGGGCTCCTAACAACCCTAAACCCTAAACCCTAAACCTAAACCCTAAACCCTAAACCCTGAAAGGCCCTGGAGACTGGGAGTGTTCGTGCTGGCCGGAGGCCTCCAGGGCTTTTGAGCACGGGCAGCGACCTGGAACGGCTCACGGTGGAGGGGCTTGGGATGTTAGGGTTTAAGGTTTAGGGTTTAGGGTTTAGGGTTTAGGGTTTAGGGTTTAGGGTTTAGGGTTTAGGGTTTAGGGTTTAGGGTTTAGGGTTTAGGGTTGAATGCCTTGTATGCACATGTAATTCAGCACATTTTGTGGATCTGCGAAGACGAGCTCGGCGTTCAGGGCAAGCACAGCAAGCGAACATGGAGGTCCCGCGTGAAAGGATCTTGCTTACAAGCCTGTTTCGGGGCGCTTCGAAACCAACTGTTGAACGTCAAGCTTGGACGGTTTGGGGTCGAGGGCTCAATTTCTACAGGCTCCTTCGGGCAGGCTGAAAAGCTCTTCGAAGTGCGCTTCGGCTCGAGATCGGCGGTTTGCACTTTCAGCTACGTTCTGCAACGAAGCAACGGAGTCCCCTCAAATGTAAGCTCAGGGAAACCTTGTGCTAAAATCACAAAGTCTCCGTGAAGCTTGCATCACACCGGGGCCGGGACACATTCCAAAACGCCCGAGACTGCGTGGCTGCCATGGCTACAACACCTGGCACCACTGCTCCAAGAGAGTAACCCTAGACCCCAAAACCCCAAGCCCTAAGCCCTAAGCCCTAAACCCAAACACGGACTACAACCCTAAACCCCAAACCCCAAACCCCAAACCCAAAACCCAAAACCCAAAACCCAAAACCCTAAACCCTAAACCCTAAACCCTAAACCCTGACCATCAAGCCCCGAAGCTGCGCAAAGCCTGAAGCCCAAACACCCTCATGCACCAAATGAGAAGCCCTGAGCTGCCACATTTCTTTGGCTTCTGCAAGGGGCTTACGTAGCAAAGGGCCCTCAAAATGGCGCAACCCTACATGTGGTCCGCGGAATGCTTACCAGAGGATTCAGAAGCTTGAAGTGAGATCTCCTGAGAGTGAGGGTCCAGGGTTACGATCTGGAGCAAAACCTTCTTCGAAGTAGCAGGATGGCTTTTCCTCAGATTTGAGTAGCGTACGGACAACGATGAGGGGCTTCAGGGTTGAGGTTGAGGAACTCAAAGCGTCGAACCTTGCTCTAGGTTTAAAACGGGTCAGTTTCACCTCGAACGGCAAACACACAGCGATGCACCACACAGCCATGCGTGTGCCCCGCAACTATGCATCCTGAAACTTTTACCCACGTTCATCCGCGGCGACTCAAATTCCTGTTGGGTCTGCTGTCTGCTTACCGTTTGCCGTTGGGGGGTGTCGCTTTTCATGCTCTGAAAACTCCAACCCGGGGACATGGATGAGACCAAGTTCCCGGCGGCCGCTGCCGCGAGCGCTAATCGCTCGGTAGGCATGGGAGGCCTGAGAAGGGAGGAGGGAGGTGCGTAACATGGCGCGGGTCTTCGGATGCTTCAAATCTCTTCGGGTAGGGAGGGTCAGAGCAGGGTTTCGAGCCGTAGGAGCCTCGCTGGTCAGTGCTATTCAAGGGGCACTTCGAAACTTAGGGGGGTGGCGGTTCCAGTGCAAACGAACTTTGCCTGGGTGGCTCGAAACCCCGCAGGACTAGCTTAACAAATTCTTAAATTTGGCTGGGTGGGGTAGGACTTGGGTATGGCTGCGGGCTTCGGGGTGAGTAGATTCTTGGGGGGCTATGGGCTCAAATCAAGCCCTGCTGAGCCCGCCACGAGCATCGTGTCTGTGTGAGCCTCGGAGACAGCTCGCAGCTCGCAGGAAGGGTTGCAGGCGGTTTCTGGGGCAAGCTTGTTTAGAGTTTACCTGACACCTTGAGGACAAGAGGTTGAGATCGAAAGCTCAAAGCCCAAGCTCTTCGTCAGAAACTCTGCAAAGAACGTGCAAACTGACAGGGTTGACACCCCCGCGACAAAAAGCGCTGAGCCGTGAACTGCGACTCTCTCTGCTGCAAGAACATTACACTGACCCTGCGCAAGCAGCAACTTGAATCTTCCCCCTTATGCCCAGCACTCAGGCGCGGACAGTGCCCGTCGCCGTCTACCACAGGTTCAGGTGACTTTGGGCCGACGTCACAAAGTCTGGTCCGCGGCTGAACAAGGCCGGTTTGGGGGGTGGGGGGAGGGGAGGGGGGCAAGTGGGAGGGGGAGGGGGGCAAGTGGATTTCGAGAAACACCGTTTGCAAAACACTGTAGCACAAGTTTGCCAAACCCGTGAGAGTCACGGGACTTTGCCACTTGCGTGCATCATGGCTTGCAGATTCAACAGTCATCGCTCACAACCAGCGCTCGCGCCCGAATCAAAGTTTGTGTGTGTGTTTTTTTTTGTTTGGGGGGGGGGGGGGGGGGGGGGTTGGGGCTTTTTTTCACCAGTGCACTCAGTCCAACCTCACGGTGCGGGATTGCTTCTGCACGAGATGGCAAACTAACCGCACAGAAGAAGTCTGAGCCTGGCCAGCCCTCGCAAAGTCTTTCCAAAGAACCGCTGTATCTCAACTCTGCAGCAGCCTAATCTAGAAGGCCTTCATAATTTGAATAGAACTTTGGGGGCTATTCTAGTAGAAGTATAAGGGGACCATAAGGGAATATAGTATTAGTAATGATTCCGACCCCTGTATTTCACCTGAACCGCTGAACCTTGAAAGGAGGACCCTGGGTTGACAGCTCCAAGCCAGTCTTAGGCTTAGCTTTTCTGATTTTGTTTGGGGTTTAGAGTTTAAGGGATTAAGGGATTAAGGGTTTAAGGGTTTAAGGGTTTAGGGTTTAGGGTTTAGGGTTTAGGTTGTTGGGTTTAGGGTTTAGGGTTTAGGGTTTAGGGTTTAGGGTTTAGGGTTTAGGGTTTCGGGTTTAGGGTTGAAAAGTTTAGGGTTTAGGGTTTAGGGTTTAGGGTTTAGGGTTTAGGGTTTAGGGTTTAGGGTTCAGGGCTTAGGGTTTAGGGTTTAGGGTTTAGGGTTTAGGGTTTAGGGGTGGGGTTTGGAGCTTGGCGTTCTGGATGTGGCCGGGGGGGGGGGGGGTTAACTCCGGGTAGATCATCCACGGACCCTAAACCCTGAGATTGGACGTTTGGGTGTTTACCCTTCATGCCATGATGCCTGAATCGAAACCTTGTCTTTGCCGCAGCTTAATCACCAGTATCTGACTCGCTCTAGCTTCTCTTAACGATGGTCTTCCCCAGGTCGAATCTACTTGTTCTCCCCACGTTAAGGGGAGTAGAGGGGTTTGGTCCTGGCTCACACTTTTCGACACAGATGCCGGCTAGCTTTCGAAATATTCTGCCGGACAGCGGTAGGCGACAGCAGGCCCAAGTTGTTCCGTTGCGATATTCGGGTTGGAGGCTAGTACACACCTACCTCCTGCTTGATGCCCTGGACTTACATCGAGCATCCTCAAGTCGGAGCTCTCGAAATGGCAGGGGAAGGCGCTTACCTTAAAGGCATACATTCGGACACCTTTCTTGCAGACCCTAGGCCCAAATGCTACCCCCAGGCTACATGAACCAACATGAAGCAACCAAGATGGTGGTCTTGCCTTTCGTGTCTTGCGGTCTGGTGTGGACATCGGGTGGCCTCAATCCGGATCTACATTTACCAAACCCTGACATACGCAAAGCCCGCCCAAAGCCTGCCAAAGCTAATTTATTACTCACGGACTGATTGCAGTCAAAGTGTCAAGTGCAGGGTAGTATACCCTAAACCCTAAACCCTAAACCCTTTAGGACAGAACTTCTATCACAGGTTAACACGTCATGAGTTCACTGACCAAAAGACCGTAACTTCTGTCTCACCGTGTAACCCTTCCCTAGAGTCTAGTTCTAATGTTCACTCCTTGGGAATCTTCTCTCTTGTTCACCCATCACACCTTGAGACCCAAAAGCCCACACTCGCCGACCGTACCATCTTGACTTAGAAACCGTACCATCATGAGTCTTTCTACAAGCTAGACCACGTACCTCTATCTCCAGCTCATTAACCTCTTTCTCTCGCCCGTGAATACCCTGGGTTACGAAACGGCCCTGCAGTCCGGCTTGGACCGACCCTGCGATTTCCAGGTCTTCGTGTGAGACAGCAGCTGGCAGAGCTGGACCGAAATGCATTGGACATGAAGTAGGGTTTAGGGTTTAGGGTTTAGGGTTTAGGGTTTAGGGTTTAGGGTTTAGGGTTTAGGGTTTAGGGTTTAGGGTCTAGGGTCTAGGGTCTAGGGTGTAGGGTTTATATTTCTTGTACCCCCAAAGGGACACCCAATATCTACACTCACCAATACTAAACAGGAACCTTATCTACACTCACCAAAGACAGTGATATATACCCTGCTTCACATCAGTGTTGCACGCTTGGGTTTGGGGATCAGGCAACATGTTAGGATCATAGGTCTTTCGGGTCAGGGTTTTAAAAAGGCTTATGGGCTTCTAGGGCTGAACTACTCAAGATCTTAGGTTTGGATGCCTCAACAGTTCGAGCATCCAGGGCAGAGGAGTTTACATGTTCAAGACGTACTTACGGGCCGGGCCTTCGATTGAGCTTCCGTCGTTTTATCATGCCTTGAAGATGGAAAGACCGTCGATCCTTTTCGGGCTAGGAAACTCCAAGGATCTAAGGGGAGGGCTGCATCGCAGAATGCTGTCCAACATCTGCTAGCAGAGGGGCCCTGCTATCCCTGCCGGAGCTCAATGCGTCACAAACGCGGAAAAAGCATCGATGTCCACCGGGTTCTCAGCCTGCCAAGGGTAACGACAACTTGGAACACACAAAACTCCAACACCCGACCGTACGCTTACACTCCTGAGGATCCCTTTTCGGCAACCTTCACTCAAAACGTTCAGAACTCTCCCCCAAGCGCCCAAAGCGACTTTTCACCCCACCTTCGCATCCTCTTCCATCGATCGTGCGTGGAAGCCGTTGCCTGGAGATGCCTCGCAAGTGCTACAGAACTGTGCCAGTGAGGGTTTAGGGCTTCTGGATGTTCGAGGTAAAATAATTTTGCTTTCTTTTTGGGGCACACCCTGGGCTTCCACTGTGGGAATCATCACAGCTTCATCGCAGGCAAGGATCCAAAGAGGATTCGAACTATCGAGCTGGAAGGGAAGCCGAGGGCCATGATGGGTGTCCACAGGTCCATTGGGGGTTGAATATGCTTCAACATTCCTTCGCTGTGGCTCGGGAGTGACAGCCCACTACATTCTGTGATTCCATGATCTAGGACAGCTGGATTGAGGCATAAACCTAAACACTGCTCGAACCTCTTGAGAACGAACCTGAAACCCTGAACCCACCCTCTGGGTAGAGATACTCTGGGGCTGGGCACTCCATGGACACTCTGGGGAAACACTCTAGGTTTGGGCACTCCAAGAGGGGTTGGGCACTCCAGGGACACTCTGGAGGTACTCCAGGCATATTCTGGGGTTGGGCAATCCAGGGCACTCTGGACACTTTGGGATTGGACACTCCAGGGACAGTCTGGGGTAGGGCACCCTGGGGTTGGGTGAGGAGTAGACCGGAGAAGAGTTGAGTTGAAATTCTAACAGCCCCACACCGAGGGTGGGGAACTAGGGCCTATCTAAGGGCACACGCACCTTCTATGCAGTCCAAATCTCAAATAAATGCTCCCCCGGTCAACATGAAGGTGAAGCCTTACACCGTGCACTGTGCACAACTCACAACACCTCAAAGAAACCACCCGGGCCTTGCACAGACCCTCTCATCCCTCAACAGTCCCAAACCCCTCAATTCGTGCCCGTGCCTGGGGCCCACCCGGAGCCGCCTCAGCAGAGCATCAGGGCGACCGCCAGCTTAAGTCTTGGGTTTTAGGGTTTAGGGTTTAGGGTTTAGGGTTTAGGGTTTAGGGTTTAGGGATTTTACGCATGAAGAATGGCCATAAAACGAAGGCCCAGCGATCCAGCTCATGATTGCGTTTCAAGAAAACTGGTGCTTTCGCTTGGCGAACGAGCCAGAACAAAGAACAGCTACTGTAGATCCACTGCCTCCATCAATGGTGAGGAACCCGACAAAAATGTGCTGTCTTTGATGGTGCTGCCGTTCTTGCTCTTGCTGTTGGCATTCTTGGTTTTGCTGTTGTGTTGATGTTTGAATCTTGCTGCTACGTAGCGTTGCTCTTGACATTGTTGATGCGGTGTTACTGCTCTTTTTCTTTTTAGTTTTTGTTTGCTGTGGCTGTCTGTTGTTGAATCTAAATAATAGCTGATCTTGCTGATGGTCCACGTAGGCACTGGGAACAGCTTTGCGAAGTGGCCACCATCCGGCTGACATTGCGAGTTCCAAATATGGGTTGAGGCGGGCTTTGCTCGGCTTCCGCAAGGCGAAAAGAGCCGACATCACTTTGTGAAGTCGTAATTTGTTTCGAAACTGTAGCCGGAGGAGACGCACCAGGCGTCGGGCGGCTTGAAGAGGGGCAAGATGATGCACCCGATGCATCGTGGCGGGCTGGGCACGCAACTCTTGCATGAGCCGCAAGGACTCAACCATCGGGCCGGGACGTGGTATTGATTGAGGAGACGCACTGGTCGGGCTCCTCACAACTCAAAGATGCTCAAGACGCAGGGCTGGACAGTTGTCACTGCTGGGATGACATCCACGGCAGCCATGCAGGCCCAAGGCACCTTCCTCGCCAGCGGAACTGGCCGTGCAAGCTGCTCATCTGCTAATGAATCCCTTGCTGGCTTTCTGAGAGAGGGCCGTTTTCGGGAGGTGTACTTTCAGCACCGAGGC